TGGGTGCTTAGCGTCTTAATGGAGAAAGCGGATGCCCGCTTGCAGAAGCTCGTTAATAGTATGTGTCGATTGGGAAAGGATAGCCGAGACCCCACTACCTACCTATCGTCTGCGACGAGCATATGTCCGAAATGCTAACACCTCAACCAAATATCACCTTTATCATAAACTAGTTATCACAACGGAATTGTTATAATCAGTAAAAGTCATAATTGGTCAACTGTGTTATTCAGAATCTATCGTTGCTTTTTGGCTGCACATATATTTGATCGCAAATTCTAGCGATTTAATCGATACTTCAATAAAATACGAGCATTGCAAAATGATGTACAGCAAAAGCCGTGTCTATATCCTTGGAGTTGGGAATATTGGAAAGTTTTTTGCGTACGCATTAAGGAAGCAACACCCTGGGTTGCCTATCTCACTGCTTTTCCATCGACCCAGCCTTATTGGTGACTGGGATGCGTCCGGAAGAACTATAGAGTGTGTTACAGATGCAGTTTCCGATAAACGAACGGGTTTCGACGTGGAAATCGTATCCTCGACAGCAGATGAAACTGATTCACGAATGTCGGAGGATCCAATTGATAATTTGATTGTAGCAACCAAGACTACTGTCACAGCCTGCGCTTTAGGTTCAGTCAAACACCGTCTTCGCAAATCATCCAATATCTTGTTTTTGCAGAATGGAATCGGTATGGTAATATTGATCCCTACGCTACATAAGACTGACAACCACACAGGTACTACAGACGAAGTGTCAGCTCTAGTGTTCAGGGATGCGAATTCACGGCCATCATACTGGGTTGGAGTTTGCAGCTGCAGCATATATCGTGTATCTCCTTTCTCCATCGTTCATGCTGGTCGAGGAGCTATTGAGTTAGGGCCAGTCTCGAGTGCATCCCATGCTCCGACTTGTGGCATACCAACGAGCTCGGCACGGCCTGATTTCATAACTCAACTTCTCGAGGTGCCAGACATAGAGGCAGTCCTGATAGGGCTAGATCAGACAAAGGCAGCACAGCTACGAAAACTCACCGTCAATGCAGTGCTCAATCCTTTAACTGCGATATTTCGGTGCAGCAGGGGTGAACTGCTCGATCACCCACAGCGGTTTAGCTTTATGGAAGCACTTTTCCAAGAGGTTGCCGATATCGTTCGCGCACTAACGTCTGGAGTGCCTCAAAGCTCTGAAGACCAGCTCTTTGAAAAGCAAAACCTCTGGTCGCTGGTGCTAAGAGTTGCTGAGAGTTCAAGAGAAAGTACGAGCTCAATGCTTCATGACATTGAAGCGGGACAGAAAACCGAGATCGATTACATTAACGGATATATTGCATCGCAAGCACAACAACGTGGCCTCACTTGCTTCAGAAACAACGTTGTTGTCACTATGGTTAAAAGACGACAGTGCATTACGGACAATGAAATAGAGACTGTGTTAAAAACACATGACCCAATATCAGCAAGTACGCTGTTCAAGATAGAGGTGCAAAGTGCGTAAAGTTTCCATCACAAGAGGTATATAGTGGTTGTAAAGGTAGCAGAAACACTAGTTGGACAGCAGGACAGTTAGGATACCGTGCCAGACGGCGCAACGATCGCTCCGCCCCACCAACTACCATCACCAGAATCAGGCCGTAGAGTCGCACCAAGTAGCTGTTGTTAGAAAACTTCTTAGTTTTGAGATATAGAAATAGTATTACAATTATCCATCTATCGATACTTGGCTGGTAACTTGATATCGCAGCCACGCCGTGATCGTGGTGTTGATGGAGCTGCTGAGCGATCGAGTGGCTGCTCACCACCACTACAACCACTACTAATTATTTTTTTGATATAGGCTTTGTACGAGCTTTAAAACTTCTTTTCTTACCCTTTTGTGAAGTTTCAACAGCTTGTTTTAGTCGTTTTGCAGCTCTAAGCGCAGCTTGGCGAGCAGCTCGCTCAGTAGCTTCATCAACTTTCTGCTTCGCCCGTAGTAGCCTCGCCTCTGCTCGCGCGCGACGCCGTGTACCAAGCTCTTGAGCTTTGAGTAGCTTTGCCTCCTCCCTAGCTTGGATATCAATAGATTTTTGATGTTGTATTATCTCACGATCACGTTGTTTCTGCTCGTGGAGGCTGCGAGCTTCTCGCACCTTCCGCGGCGACTAGAAACTAGCTCCACCACGATAATCTTCGGGCAGCTCGAGCGCACCAGGCTATGAGCGCTGCTTCCGCTGGCGCTCACCAATGAGAGTTTCTCGTAGCTTTTGAATCTCCTGCTGATCGAGCTTTGACTGAGTAGATAGCTTCATAATAGTTCGGTTAAGCTGGGATATCTTTCTACTCTCTTTTTGGTTGACTGCGCTATTAATTAGCTCTCGGATCTTTCTCCAATCTGAAGCGCTGAGGGCGGACGAATCGCTATCGCTGTGGTAAGCCGCTGGTTTAAACTTCTGGAGTATTACTTCTGGATTGAACGGTGATATACCGGTAGCTTCAAAGGCTCGGAAGATCGTCAATTCCTTGAATGATGCCTGCCAGGCGTTCCAGAATAGTGGGAAGAAATGAGACTTGGTGATAGGTAACAGCCCTTGGCACCTATCTATGAAGCTCGATAGCTCATTCGAATAGGCAGTGGATAGCGGCTTGAATAGCCTAACGTCGAGCGGCTGCAGCGTATGAGTCGCATGAGGTGGGTATATTGCAATTAAGATCTTATTCTGATCACAATAATTAAATAAACTCCATCGTGAGATGAGAGTGATGCCCATCCATGAATAGTAATCGGTAAGACGATCGAGCTTTAGGCTTAGTAGCAGGATCAAACACCTGATTGAGCCATTGGAGCCCGATATTATTATTCGACCAGCCAGTAGCTGATGTAGCGATTCGGGCGGAGTGGATCTCCGGATCAAAACCTTGCAACCATGAGTTTTGGATCAATCCAGATTGGCTTGAGTAGATAATGCTCGGATCTAGATGAGATCCATCAGCACAGATACAAGCTATCAGCGTAATCCACTCTCGATTGCCATCTTGGATCATAGTCTTTCTTAATCCAGACTGAAGAGAAGCTTTAGAAAAGATCTTTGTTGAGCGTGATTGGACTCCAATCATGAAGCCCTTCTTATCCATATTGCATATATGACGCGGCTCGATCTCATATTGGGCGATTTTTTGGCGTAGAAGCTTAAAATATAGACGGTATTTCTGTTCTGAATCAGCTCGGTGGCGATTGCGATCCATTGGCGTGGCCTGTTTTGTCTAGAGAAGATCTGGATAGCGTTGAACAAAGCGATCGACCCAGTGGTAACCAATCTCTTTTTGCGCAATCTCAGATGCAAGTTTCCGAACAAGATTTCGATCAGGTGGAGTACCACGTATAGTAAGCTGATCAATATATTTAATAAGCTCAGCTCTTGTTGTGGGTGCAGCGCACGTCAATTTTAGTAGTAGGCCTCGCGCGAGGTAGTTAAACCTTGGTGGCGCCGCCTCAGCGTTGACGGCTCAACACCAAATTTTCGAGCAATTTGGGCATACACAAGTTTTTCTCCAGGTTCTAAAGCAGCTATAGCTTCAAGCGCAGCGTTGATAGGCTCTATTTGGGGTGGTTGCGGCACGATCGGGTGGGTGGTGTTGGTGGTGATTCGGGCATGTGGCTGTCCGAGGCATAACTAGCGTCCACTGGCCGCGCAACTTTGTTAAGCGTATAGACAGTCTCACAACGCGTTTTAATTGAGCGCACGATAGGCAGAGAGCTCTATGTGAAGATCCAGTCCTAATTAAGAGCTGGTTTAAGCTTGTGGAGTAGACAAAGGCCAAGTACGGCATCTGTGATAAGGACGTCTACAACTTCGATGAAGCTGGCTTTATGATGGGCAAGATTACGACTCAGCTANTCGTAACAGCGTCAGAGAGGAAGGGCCGGCCAAAGGCAGTTGAGCTAGGCAATCGTGGGTGGGTAACGCTGATCGCAGCGATCAATGCAGCTGGCTGGGCAGTCCCACCATTTCTTATCTTCACTGGCAAGCATCACCTATCTGCCTGGTACGAGGAGGCAGAGATCCCACGCGACTGGGCGATCGCAGTTAGCGACAATGGCTGGACGAATAACGAGCTAAGTGTCGCATAGATAAAGCACTTTGATGCCCACACGAAGATTCGCGTTATCGGCACACGTCGCCTGCTTATTCTTGACGGCCATGAGAGCGACCAGTCTCTAGAGTTTCAAGAGTTCTGCAAGGAGAACAATATCTACACGCTCTGTATGCCGCCTCACTCGTCTTACCTGCTCCAGCCTCTTGACGTTGGCTGCTTCTCGCCATTGAAGCGCGCGTACAGCCGTGAGGTGGAGAGTCTGATACGCAACCACATCAACCACATCACCAAGCTTGAGTTTCTGCCAGCGTTCAAGACAGCGCTTGATCAATCCTTCACGCCAACCAATATCCGCTCAGCCTTTTAAGGCGCAGGCCTTGTTCTTCTCCAGCCAGATGCTGTTCTATCAAAGCTTGACATAAAGCTGCGTACGCCTACTCCTCCAGCTGCTACCGCAGAGGCTCTCTGGCAGGCTCGCACCCCAAGCAACCTACGCGAGCTTGAAGCCCAATCAACGCTAATACGTGATCGGGTTCAGCGGCATAAGAGCTCATCACCAGCGTCAATTATTGCGGCGATTAGCCAGCTTCAGAAGGGGGCAGAGATAATGATGTTCTCGGCTGAGCTAATGCGAGATCGGCTCGCCAGCCTTGAGAGGGCCAACGAGGCAGCAATAAAACGTAGGTAGCGTAAGAAGAAGCGGATACAGAAGTAAGGAGTACTAATAAAGGGAGCTGGAGAGGATCTACTCGCTCAGCGCGAGGCTAATTAGCAGATCGCTTATGAAGAGCGTTAAGGAGGAGAGCGATCAGGTGTCAGCCGCCAGGCTTTAGCGCGCTGTAGTAGGTGTAGAGAGACTGGCCATAANTCGCGTACGTGTAAGAAAGATACTCTAGGTAGTTACTACTTAATCTATTATGTTAATATATAGTAAAATAACTATATTGTGGTGGAACTACAGGCTTATAGAGGTGCGCAGGTTGGGTGGGGTGCGGCGCTCGCTTGCCTGCGGCGCTCACTTGCCACATACGTTAACTAACTGTCAGTTTTATACATGATGTTAGGATCACGTGATCTTATCGATAAAAGCTGACTGCCTCAACACCAGGTGCTATTATATTGAGTTTACCTGCTCACGTCATTCAATCCATCAATCCAATCAATCAATTCAGCGCTCTGTAACTTGATTAATTGACTCTCTAGCTGCCTCATTTTTGGATTAATTGAATCAATCAATTTGATCAATAAACCGATTGGCCCTAAGCCTGTTGCATAGCTTGTGATCGCAAATGAGGCAGCCACACAGTTGAAAAGTTGAAAGAGGAAGTATAAATGCACATAAGAAACTAAAAAAGTTGATCAGATTGTCGATCTAGTATCTCCTACAGAGGGAGCAAAATAGGATAAAAGTGCAGAGCCAACCAAGAGGTTGTAAGAGAGGCTCAACGGATGTGTCGGCGAAATTGGACGTAACGCTCGGATTTGCACGGTGGGAATTGCAGATGCAGAGGTTATTAATCGTCCAAAGCTTGAGCTTGACACTTAACCAAGATTAATACAGTTCAAGACATGACCGCAGCTTCGGCATACTTACCATCTGCCAATAAATACCCCTCTTCCTTAACAGTTCCTGATGATCGCCTCTCTCGAGCACCTTGCCACTCCCCAACACGAATATAACATCAGCTTTCTGGATCGTAGCAAGTCGATGTGCAACGGCAATCACGGTTCTGCACCCCTCTGCTGCGACGCGCTCAATCGCTTCTTGAACCAACTTCTCAGACTCTGAGTCTAGAGAAGAGGTCGCCTCGTCAAGAAGCAGGAGTTTTGGTTTTCGAAGTAGGGCACGGGCAAGTGATAGACGCTGCTTTTGCCCCCCAGACAAGGACATGCCTTTTGGTCCGAGACGCTGATTGTATCCGTTTGGGAGCGAGGTGATGAAATCATGAATTTGTGCATCGCGGCATGCATGCTCAATCTCCTTGTCGCTTGCGGTGTCAACGGAGAGTGCAATGTTTTCTCGAATCGTGCCTTCGTAGAGTGTGGCCTCCTGGCTGACCAGACTAATTTGCTTACGATATTCTGAGGGATCGAGAGCAATAATATCCTGTCCATTGCATAGAATGCGCCCAGATGATGCGTCATAGAAGCGCTCTAGCAGCGAAATGGCAGTTGATTTTCCGGACCCAGATGCACCCACGAGAGCAGTGAATTGACCTGGCTGAACTTGCAAATTGAGGTTCGACAACACTGGAATTTCGCGGGACTCATATGCGAAGCAAACGTTCTGGAAATCAATACCCACGCCTTCTGACGTCTCCATCAAACGTGGGTAAGAAGATGGAGCTCGAGTTTTTAGTGGACGCATGCTGAGAATGCGGTTGGCGGCATTAGCTGCCTGCGCCATGTTTGGGGCAAACGAGAAGAACGTGCCTGCTGCGATCGAGCCTTGGATAATGGCTTGGTAGATTACAAAGAAGTCGACGTTGTTGTACTCGCGGGACGCAAGCAACGTACCACCATACCAAAATGCAAGAGCCATACAAGCTAGCTCAATACTGTCGCTCGCTGCGTAGATAGTAGTACTGTATTTTGCGCTATGAAAAGCCTTTGTGACATGGCCCTCGAGCAAATCCTTATAGTGCTCAGTGATCCTGTCTTCCATAAGAAGACTGAGCACTGTACGAAAAGCGCCAACAGCTTCAGCAGCAAATTGGCTACTACCTTCGAAAACCTTGGCATTTGTCTTTTCAAATTGCATTTCGAGACGCATGCGAAGATAGCCAGCAGCAAGAATTAACGGTAAAGTGGTGAACAGGCTGACGAGGGAGAGTTTCCAGCCGTAGACAAAGGATATGATGACGGAACCAACAAGGTTGACAACGGCAACAAGCGCCATGGACATCTCTGTCGCCATCAGCTGCTGGATCTGTGTACTGTCTGAACTCAAGGCTGCCGTAAGAGACCCTGGACTATGCCTTTGAACGTCGAAAAATGTTATGCGTTTGCGTATGAGGTTGACCAAATATTCTTGCCTGTACTTTGCCGTGATTGTAGTTGACATGAGATGGCACGCAGCCCCCATGAAAAAGTATGATATAAAAGTGCCTCCTGCCAGTACACCAAACATGCCTGCCCAGAAGTTCCCTTGCCTGACAAGTTTGTCTATTGGGAATGTGAACACATTGATGGCGCTGGAGAAGATATAGGCTTGAAGTGGGTAGACCGCGCCACTGGCTAGGATACCAAAGGTGGCCGCACTATACAATACCAAATGACGACGTTGCTCATAGATCAAACGGCCGAAGCTGCCAATTAGCCCTTGTTGTTTGTACTTTGGGTCTGCTACTTTGTTAGGACGAATGCTTTCAGCATTTTCTCGGACGAGCACAGTATCCAAACTTTTAACCTTTTCTGGCGCATCCACGTTGATATCGTTTCCGGCTTCTATTGCGATTTTTTGTGCCTCAACTAAGCCGTAGTAGATACCTCCGTTTATTTTTAGTAGGTCCTCATGTGTTCCTTGCTCGAATAGTTTCCCTTGACGTAAAACAATGATCTTATCAGCTCGTCTAATGGTAGAAAGCCGATGGGCAATGACGATAGTTGTCCTGTTTCTTGAGACACGATCAAGTGCTTGCTGCACAATGCGCTCAGTTCTGACGTCGATAGCGCTGGTTGCTTCATCCAGGATCAATATAGGCGGCTGCTTGATGATGCTTCTTGCGATGCAAACCCGTTGGCGTTGTCCTCCTGATAACTTGATACCGCTTTCTCCTAGCATGGTTTCGTACCCTTCAGGTAACTTTAAGATAAACTCCTCAGCACAGGCTTCGCGACAGGCGTCTTCAACCATCCTCTTTTTTTCCTCTTCAGACAAACCATCATAGCTCGTACCGTTGAGTCCAGAAGCGACATTGTTGTAGAGTGTATCGTTGAATAGGAAAGGCTCTTGTTGCACAAGACCTATCTGGGCGCGCCACCACTTGAGATCGATTTGTCTTATGTCAGTATCGCCAATCTTTATCCTGCCAGTGCATATATTTGGACCCAGTTCGAGCTCTTTTTCCTTGCATTTATTGTTTCCGGCTTTCTTCACGGACTCTTTTTTATCGTTACACTTGAGAGTATTGTGATTCTGGCCCCATTTAAAATTTCTGAGATCCTCCTTCTCTTGAGACGCTTCGACGTCGGACGTTAAATTGTGCATACAGCTATCTGGTGCAGCTGGGGCTGTCATACCGTGGAGATCATACCATCGTTGCAACAAGCCTACAATGGTAGACTTTCCTAAATAGTGAAGCTACCTGTCATCTAGGTGCAAAATATAGATATGGTATTTGGAACTCACCACTCCCAGATGGACCTACGATAGCAGTGACTTTGCCAGCTTCAAACACAAAATCAAGCCCATTGAGGATCTGCGTATCTGGCCTATTAGGATACGAGAATCTCACACTCTGAAAAGTGATATCGGCATCAGCGGTGATGTCTGGCTCTTTCAGCCCAGTGGTGTTTGGGACTGGGGCATCAATAGTGGCGAACAGTTCTGTAACAGCAGATGAGGCTTTTGTGATAGCAATGGTAGGAGAGACGATTCTGGTAAGATTCATCGTTGCCATCAGTACTGAAAATAGGACAACAGTAATGGTTCCGATGGTGTCTTCCTGCCCTTCAGAGTATCGTTTGATGCCAAACCAGAAGGTGAGAGCGAAGGTACCGTACTGTCCAACCATCATAGGCGACATGATAAGACCCATCAAAGGTGCAGCCTTCCGTTCATTCTTCGCCGCTTTGTCTATCATTTCTTCATGCCGTGTCGCCATTCTTGTTTCTGCGCCAAACGCAGCAATGATGCGGACAGACGAGAATATCTCAAATGCTATGGCTGAAGCATCCTCATGGTACTTTTCGGTGACCTTGTGTATCCTTATGAATGGCGGCAGTATGGCACCAGAGATGACTAAGACGAACGTTACTGAGCTAGAGGCGACTAGGGTAAGCAGCGGGCTTTTTACAAATGCTACAACATATGCTCCGATTGTGAACGCGAGTGATTGAAAAAGCATAGCCAAGTGCTGTGATATAGCGGTTTGTACGATATTAGAAGAGGTCGTAACACGAGTTGATACCTTTCCAGGACTTATAGTGTCAATAACACTCACTGGCTGTGCGAACAAAGCTCGCAAGTAGGCTAGCCGTAGGGCACAAGAAATTCGGAGACCGCTGGTTCGGATTGTCACCTGGATTGTTCTTTAATAATCCGATCAATCAATAGATGCTGGATAATACCATGGAGATGTATGACAACACGAACTTGGCAATGAAGAGATAGATCAAATAAAGTGTCAGCTTGTTGATCTCCGCTTGAAATTCGCCAGATGACATTGTCGTTCCTGGGATAAAGTAGTTGGTAAATGAGCCCACTAATTGACCTGATCTGTATCAGTAAGGATCTTGTTGAATCTCACGCTTGTTGGAGACTACCAAAAACGATGTTCATCAAAGGGAAAGCGACCCCTGAGCCTATTGAAGTGATACAACACAATAGTATAAGTACGATATCTAGTTTCGTTCCGTAAGAAAAGATCCGCTAGACCACTTTCGTTAGCATTGAAACATTGCCAATCTATTGTACGTACAAAGTAATTTTTTATGCCAGCCTGAAGAACGTGATTCAACTTCGCGGGCACATCTCCATCCCGTCCAATGGCTTCGACGGCGCTGTCTTTCTCTCGTGTCCCTCTTTCGAGCACTTGAACAGAGAGCGCAGCGTTCTCTGCCTCAGGACCAGCTGCCGGCCGAAGTGGCGGTCGAGTATTCGTAGTGTCCATGTTTGCTTATTCAAGGGATGCGAATAGAAGCGAGAGAAGACGACAGTGTGTTACAGTAAATCCCCGTGTTCAACATACACCCGGGCTACTAAAAGCGAAAGCGGGTGCCCCACAATACTAGACGTCCACTTCTTTATCTAAAGATAGATATCCCCATTTACATCATAAGCGAGAAGCAGATAGTTAGAAGAATAGCTCTTGGCAGTTGCTGTTGATTGTAGTTACAACCCAGTATTCATACAAGACGTTGTGTAAGAAAACAGAAGAACTATTTAGCTCAGGTTGCAAAGACGGATGTAGACATGATCCGTGCGTCGGGTGGGGTCTCGGCTATCCTTTCCCAATCGACACATACTATTAACGAGCTTCTGCAAGCGGGCATCCGCTTTCTCCATTAAGACGCTAAGCACCCA